CATATATTCCGTACATTATTATTATGATGATATAAACAGGGCATGTGGCTTTGCCACCCCCCCCCCCAGGCAAAATGGGTGAGTTATGCTACTGATAAGCCTATTGGATTGCAATATAGGCCTAACTTCTATAAAATATGATCATGAGTAAAACAATAGTATTATTAATTATAATTTTTACAATTAATAATTAATCATCATAATTAATTACAATTATAATGAGTAATTAAGTATTATTATAAACATTTATAATAATTGCATATATTATTGCATAAGAGTATTATTGTACTGATTATAAGATTGAATGTTGGGTTTGACATCCAATCATTGTTGGGAGGGACCGATCTAAAAGACAATGCTTAGAAATAAAATGATGTAAGTTAACATCAACAGACTAGTGAATGCACGTAAAACACGTGTGAAATTGAACACATGACACACTAGGGCTCATAAGGTCTATGTCTCCCTGGGTACTGCCAGACACTGCGGCTGCTGCTGTTGTTGATGCTGCTACTAGTGTTGCTACTAACTGCTGTTATTGTTGCTGACATTATTGTTTATTAAATGTTGATGCAGTGGCGTAGCCATGATTTTTTAACAGGGGGGGAGGCCAAAAACAGCAAACTGCGCAAAATAGTGGATGACTTAATATTTTAATGGTTCCTCCGCTTCCCTCTCCACACCCTCACTTCGCTCCCCCGCCTCTCAGCTCTACAAACTTTGTTTTGGGAGCCATGTAAAAAGGCGACATTTGTGTTCGTTGTTCTCTGCTCCGTAGATATGTAACTGTTCAGTGGCGGATCCAGGATTACGAGGAGGGGGTGAAACACAGGCGGGGGGTATGGAGGTTCTCCCCCAGAACATTTTGAAAATGTAGATCGCAGGAGATGGTATTTGAGGCACTTTTGAGTACATGTACTTCATTCCGACTACGACAATTCTCTTTTTAGTAGAACAATTATTATTTATTTTATTTTATTTACTTTCGGATCAACAGGGGGGGGGGCATGGCCCCCTTTGGGCCCCCTAACTACGCCACTGTGTTTATATTATTGATTGTTGTTATTGACAACAGCAGCCGCAGTGTCCGGCAGTACCCAGGGAGACATAGACGCTATCAGCAACACTAGGTGAGCTTGACGGTTCACCGACCTAACAACAATATCTAAGGAGGACAGCCGGAGGGGGAGTGGGAGGGGGAGGGAGAGGGGGAGGGGGAGGGGAGGGGAAAGGGGAGCGAGAGGGAGAGTGGTGTCTCACTCAGATAGATAGATCAGTAACATAAAATGTGCTTTACCTCAATAAGACGACATTTGATTAAACAAACACATTCATTTCTAACGATGGCCTGATTACAAATAGCAAATCCTAAACTCACCTTTTATGCAGGGATTAGTCCTTCAGGCTCTCTCTCACACACGCACACGCTGCAAGCTTCCACTGCGGCTACCACATACTACTGAATAAGTGCATCGCTGCTTGCCTTCCAGCCCACTTTAAAAAAAAACATGGCCCAGTTATACCTAATCGATCACGCTAAACCTGACGGACACATTAGATGGCGAATCGAGATTAAACAGATGTGAGTGAAAACTGCGTTGAGATGTAAACCTGCGTTATAAATAGCACGGCATCCATCAAATTCCACATAGAAAAAATATGTTGTGATGTGAAATTGTTTCGACTTGTTCGTTCTCCGAACAACTATATCCTACTTACACCGTGGGCAAGTTTGCATCTGGAATATTGCATTCGTTTTCATCACAAAATGCATGCGAAATTGAATATTTTATTATTTATATATTCATTTTGCATGTTTTGTGAGGTATACGAGGATAGTTACCCAAAATAAACAAACTCTGTTACTATGCCCTGATTGGATGCATAGGCCTATATAGCGCTGTGCTCTAAAGAGTAAATGCTGGAGTAGATCAGGTCAAAGGTTATTGGCACCTGCAATTTTGAGAACAGAAATCCAGAGGCCTGCGAAGAACCATCAGGCATCAGGCTCATAAATTATATCATTTATAAATCTAAAATATCTCACTTCAAAGAATGTGAGGCACTTACCAGAATTTGTTATACTAATTACTAGCATTATAAATTAATGTTTTATAGCTAGTTAATTAGCATTAGATCTTAGTTATTTAAAGCTGTCTTTGCTCTACAAGAACCCTTTCGCTCCTACAGGCTACAGTACAGGTACAATGATACACTGTCACAGGTACGGAGGAAAGCAGGATTATTAATATTAGCCACCCATAATCATTAAATAATCGTAGGATTCAGTAGCGGATTATCTATGGGGCAAAGGGGGCATTTGCCCCCGGCCCTACAAGTCGACCGGCCCTAAAGTGTTGTGACTACAAAAAAAAATATGCTGTTTATTATTTTTTCCAAAGTATATCTTGGGCCGGCCCTACCACTTTCATATGACTACATTTGTTTTTGCTTTCTACTTGTTTTCATTTTCTCCGTGTTTTGTGGTGTACATTGCAGCAGCTAGGAATAATATTCACTTTAAGGTAGCTATTGGGGTTAAAACTACCAATTTTTCAAAATATGATTTTTTTTAAATTTTAACTCTACTAATTATTTTAGAACGTTTCCTTTCCATTTTTTAACATTAATTGCTTATAATTATCTACTAAACAGGTCTAAAAACATTATATATGCTTATGGGAAGGGGGCGGGTGGATGGGCGGCCCAAAGATATGATATGCCCCCGGCCCAGGCAACTGTTAATCCGGCGCTGGTAGGATTAGTTATAAAGGGATAACGTATGATATTTTCAGCTATAACTATAAATAAACTGCACTCTGTGTCAGCTCTGGAAAGAAGCCTCGTGCACATGTGGGCCGTCACTGTCAGTAATGGTACCTAATCTCCAAGCCAAAACATATGTTACACAATAATTTGAATAAATGTGCATAATAATTAATATCATCATCATGCACCAATATTTATAATAGATTAATACAGCGCAACCAATGGGGACGTAAAAGAACCACTGAGGGCGCAAAAAAAACTCTGGCTGTTAGACTGGTACTCGCTCCCACCTCGATTACTCGATTACTCGATACTCCCATCGAGTAACTAAGGCGAGAGGTGGGACCGGGTACCAGTCTATCTGGCTGTGACCATGCACCCTCAGTGCCATTTGGCTAAAAGGCTGACTACCTGAACTGACTGCTGAATAAGAATAATAAGAAAAAGGAATAAGAAGATAAGAAATAATAAGAAGGAATAAGAAGTATAAGAAGAAGGAATAAGAAGAAGAAATAAGAAGAAGGAATAAGGAATAAGAAATAAAAAAGAAGAAGGAATAAGAAATAAGAAGAATGAATAAGGAATAAGAAGAAGAAGAAGAATAAATTCCCCGCACATTCCAAAGAGATAGGTAATCAGTGCCTTGTGAAATACAAGAGAGGGACCCCAAAATACAAGATACAAGATACAACGCAAGTAATAATGAGACGCCGTTAAACAACCAATGTATAGATGTCGTGATATAGTTACTCTGCTACTACTACTAGAAATAGTTATGCATAGCTGTTATCGTATATTTATAAGAAGATTACGAGAAATCTACAGTGTTCAGAATTCGTACCTACGCGCGTTTGCAGTTTGCCCGATCGCCATTAGATGGAAGCACGATCGATTGCAAATGAACAGCTGTTTGAAAATCAGGAACAAAAACATTAGGATTATCTTTTCCAATAGTAGTTTCTAATTAAGATTTTATCCTGAGATGATATTACATTACTTTAACTACCTGTGTGTGTCTTAAACAGTATTTAACAGGTGGAGTAACACTGCTGTATAAGGTACGTAATTTTTCATTAGGTTTTTCAGCGGTCTCGGTAGGCCTGCCGCCTAACTCGCTCAGTCACAGTCAGTCGGGCTCAAGGGGTCGTTGTCGTATCAGCCTCAGGTACTAGCTACTATGTACAGATTTAGACCAATAAATTGTGCCCTAAAAAATTTTATATTCTGATGTTATTTTACCTAAAATAACATCAGAATATAAAAATTTTTAGGGCACAATTTATTGGTCTATGTACAGCTGAGAAACAGTGAGATATCAGATATGTACCCAAGGGCCAAGGTACATATATATATATCATATGTATACACAAAGTGTACCAGACTTGTATTACAGAAGTGTACCCTAGCCCTAACACTAACCCTAACCCTAAACATACCTCATATAAAAATATAAACATAATACGATACTAAACAACCTAAAACTACCTCGGTTAGTACCGGTACCTCACTACCTGATACGACAACGACCCCATCTGCGTCAGTCGGTCACTGAATCTCAAAATTACTGCATACCTGTCATACTGTCTAATAATGCAACTAATGACAACTTGATTGTTAGTTCTACTGTAAGTGTAATGGTACCGGTAGTACTTAGTAATTGATTGTAAAATACGCGTGTTAGTCAGAAACTGGCAGGCCTCTCACGCTTCGTATATTTTCTATAATATTAATAATTAATAATATTAATTATTATAAACCTAACAGAAGACCCTGTATTACGTGTCCCTTTAAACACTTTCATGTAAGACCCGGCCTCCTGCAAATACTTCTGAATGTCTTCTCAGTCTAACAGATTTCTTAACTGACTTTCAGCTGTAGATGTACATATCGTAATTGGCGTGGCTGTATCACATAAATTATGCACTTATGCCTATTACTTAATTTGCACTAGGGCTTGTCGAAATTTAGTTGTGGGTCAGTGATTGTTGAAACTTGTGTGATGTAGGGTCTACAACCTTTAACTATTACCATTAGACATCGTGCTAACCCCTAAAACTCATATAACTCGGGGGGGGGGAACCTAAAACTTTATGGAAAAATTTGATTGACCCTTGATTTTTCTTTAAAAAATTGTTTTTTAAAACAAATTTTGCAGACTCCACTTATTATTAATCGTTAACATAAACACCAGAACGAAGGAGAATAAATAGTGATATTTTTTCTCGATATCGACTCCGACAGTTCACGTCGTTAATTTCGCCCGCCAGGACGCCGCGTCGCCATGACGACCGCTTGGCTCGAGAAGAGGCCGCTGAAGCGGCAGCGGCTGGGACCGCCGGACGTGTACCCGCAGGATCCGAAGCAGAAGGAGGATGAGCTGACGTCGGACAGCGTGAAGAGTGGCTTCAGCAACCGGCCGCCGTTCGGCGAGGAGTACGGGTCGGCGCGAGACTACTTCTCAAATCCGGACAAGTTCAACGTCATCTACAGCCAGATGATGCAGATGATATCGAAGAAGCAGGAGCTGAACACGCTCCCCGACACCGGTGATTCATTAAGCGATGAATTACGCGTAGTTAATCTGTTGGCGACGGTTTACGCGTGAGACGGCAAATAGTCGCTGAGCGTATTGTATAGCTTGTAGAACTTGTGCAAGTATACTTGCAAGATCAGTAAAATCAATAAATCCTGACATATAATTATTATATAATTAATTTAAAGGAATAATAGGTCCATTGATTATGCAATGTTGACGAATGCTAGAGTGACTGGCACCTTGTGTAGTTAATAAGTACATTACCTTATAGCCCAACACGTATTAGTTTGTCCAATATCGCTGCTGGTTACTAAGAAATGTCTAATTGAAATCGGCAGTCCAAAAATCAGTTGCCTACAGTTTCAAACCGCTGCCGGCGAAGCGGGTGTGATACAGATTTATAGGACATTTTCGCACGCATGCTCGGCCGTACGCAATGCTATCATCAGTGATTTCGTAAACATGGACGCTCGTGATAAGGAACTTTTTGGCAGGGCTCTCCACGTGCCTCCGTGGTTAGTACGTGTGTTTTACTCTATTTCCATGTTTAGTCCGTGGCCGTGGTTACACCGCTGACACCTCCGTTTCATCTGGCGTCCAAAACATACGGGCCGCACAAATGTTTATGTCATCGCTTGACTCCTGGATGACATTTGCGGCACGTAAATGATACGTTGATACATATCAACAACCGATTTCAAGTCTTGTTTGTAATGTAACCAGCAGTGATATTGGACAAACTAATACGCGTTTGGCTGTAAGGTAATGTACTTATTAACTACACAAGGTGCCAGTTACTCTAGCATTCGTCAACATTGCATAATTAATGGACCTATTATTCATTTATATATATGTGCGTGAATATGTATCAGGTGTTACTGGCGATTTAATATATCAGTTATACAAACATATATACAAGCATATTTAATATATATATATATAGTGATCATAGTATCGACAGCATAGTGATATAGTGCCATTGATACCCCTGGGAGATTATCCACTGCGCGCCCGTCACTATAACGACGACGACTAATTAACCGATGTGCGTTCGTGTGTTCGCAGGCAAGAAGCGTCCGCAAATCAACACCAAGGACAACTTTGTTCCGGCGAACCTCTGCAAGGTCGGCAACTGGAAGAAGGTCGAGGCGTGGCTGAAGGACCTCGCCGGGAGCAAGTCGCTCACCGTCCTCGCCAAGAAGGTGCCCATCCTCAACAAGAAGGAGGACATCTTCACGAACCTGTACGACTTCCAGGTGCCGATGCTGCGAGCGACCTGGCTCATCAAGATGACCTCTGCTTACAACGTCGCGCTCAACGAAGCCAAGATCAAGAAGAAGCAGCCGACCGACCCGTCGCAGGAGTGGACGCAGGCGCTCACGCGCTTCCTACGAGACCTCCTCAACAAGCTCACCGACTGGTACCACGGGCAGTGTGCGACGGCGGCGGGGGCGGGGGCGGGCGCGGGGGGAGGGGGCGCGGGGGCGGGAGCGACCGCGGGGGGGATGCCGGCGGAGGTGGACGCTGCTATGAAGCAGTGGCAGTACTGCCAGCGACTGACACGCTACATGTACGAGGAGGGGCTGGTGGAGAGGCAGGAGTTCCTCGCATGGATACTCGACCTGCTGGAGCGCGTGCGCGGCGTTGACGACGGCTCCCTCAAGCTGCTGCTTCCGCTCGCGCTCGAATACCTCGACGAATTCGTGCAGTCGCAGCAGCTCTCTCGCCGCCTCGCTCACTACTGCGCAAAGAAACTCGTCGCCATGGCGACCGACTCCGCCGCGTGCGCGTCGCCGCGCACGCAGAGCCCCCTGGTGGGCGCGACGGGGGAGGGGGCGGCGACGGGCGGGGGTCTGTGGGCGGAGTACGGTTCGTGCGCGTTTCACCGCGGTCTCGTGCTCAGCTACTCCTGCATGCTGCAGTGCGTCACGCTCTGCGCTCCCACTGCACTCGTGTGGAGCGGTGTCGGCAGCGGCGCCTACGCGGGATCCCCGCTCGACCTCCTCCCCTGCGCTCCCTCCGCGCTGCCCATGCCCCCGCTGGGAGACGCGGCGGCGATACGGCGGCAGGTGCGTGCGAGCGAGGAGGAGATCCGTCGCCGGGGCGCGGCGGTCGAGGCGCGCTGGTCGTCCGACACGTGCCGGCGGTCAACGCGTGGACACGCGATGCAGCGAGTGCTGAGCGTTCTCGAGGCCCTCGATCGTCACTCGTTCGACCGCTCCGACGCTAACAACTGCCTCGACGTTCTCTACAACAAGATCTTCCCGTCGCTGGAGTCACGCGGCGGCGGCGGGGGAGGGGGAGGCGGGACGGAGGGGGACCGGGCGGTGGTGCTGCAGCTGTGTGAGTGGGCGGTGAGCACGCATCGCAGCGGAGACCACCGCGCCGTCGTCGTCGCCAAGCTGCTCGAGAAACGACAGGGCGAGATCGCGCCGGACTCCCCCGACGCCGACTCCGCTCCTCCTCCCCCGCCTCCTCCTCGTCCCCCGCCCGCGCCCTCCCCCGAGCAGGAGGAGGAGGGGTACGTCGCGGCGGCGGGGGGAGGAGGTCCCGTGTTCCAGAACCTCCTTCTGCACTTCCTCGACTCGCAGGCGCCGACGCTGGACGAACGTCCGTGCGCGGAGAACCGCGAGCAGTTCGCGAACCTCGTGCTGCTGTTCTGCGAACTCATCCAGCACGACGTATTCTCGCACGACAAGTACATGTGCGCGCTCATCTCCCGCGGCGACCTCGTTGCCGCGCCGACCGCGAGCCAGCTTGGCGTCGTCCCGCAGACGCCCGACGCGAGGTCGTCCGTGGAACCTTGCGCGGGTCGCGGCGCGATGCCGCCGCAGTCCGATCTGGAATCCGCACTGCCGCCGTGCGTCGACCTCGGCTTCCGCGCGGACGGTGGCGCCCTCCGGGGATGCGACGAGGCGGCGAAACTCGACGACGACTTCAACCGCGTGTTCCAGAACTTCGCGCAGAAGCAGGACGTCGCCGCCGCCATCGCCGCGGCAACGAAGATGGAATTCCCGATGGCGGAGAGGGTGCCGCCGGTGCAGCCTCCCGCCACGCCGCCGGGTCCGCCGCCGCAGCAGCGACTGTCGCGTCACTACCAGTACACGCTGCACTTCCCCGTGCCACCGGACGACGCGTACGCGCACGAGTGCAACCAGCGTCTCGTCACGCTGTACGGGGTCGGGCGCGCGCGCGACGACGCGCGCCACATGGTCCGCCGCGTCCAGAAGGAACTGCAGAAGCTGTTCGGCAAGAAGAACTCGCTCGATCTCTCGGCAGAGGGCGCCGGCAAGCCGAAGCGTAGCCGCGGCGACCCGACGTCGACGTTCGAATCGATCTTCGCGCGTTTCCGCGCGCTGTCGTACTTCGACCAGCACCACGTGACGCACGCGACGGCCGGCTACGCCGTCGAGCAGCTGTCTCACTTCGTGACGGACGAGCGATTCAACTACCTGCCCGCCGTCGAGCACCTCGGCTTCCTCTTCGACCTCATGGAGCACGCGCTCAACATCAGCGGCCTCCTCGACTTCTGCAACCAGCTGCTCAAGGTCATCCCGGCCGTGCAGAAGCGGCTGGAGGGCGCCGCGCACGCGCTCGTCAACCAGTACCCGACGACGGTGTGCCTGCACGCGGTGGCCGTGTTCCGCAAGTACCACGCGTGGCTGCTCATCCAGCCCGACCACGAGCAGACCGTGCTCACCTTCGAGGGGCTCATCAACGTCGTGCAGCACGTGGGAAACCCGTCCGACTGCACGTCGGCCGAGCGCTGCATCCTCACGTACGTCTACGACCTCTACTGGTCGTGTCCCACCGCCTCGCACATCATCAAGACGCAGTGGGGCGACATGTTCCCCGTCATCACGCAGGCCCTCGCCAAGGTCAAGCAGTCGCTGTACGCGAGCGTGACGCCGTCGACGGCTAACCTGCCGTGGGACCGCGCCGTCATGGCCGACCACCTCGCGCGGCCCAACCCGCGTAACCGCCCCGACCCCGAGCTCGTGCGGCAGCTGAAGGAGGCGCCGGCGACGCGGTACGCGTTCGTCTGCAACGCGCTGCTCGCCGTCTGCCGCTGCGGCGGCGACTCGGACAACGTCAACGACGTCGCGATACTGTGCGCGGAGCTGACGGCGTGTTGCAACGCGCTCAGCTCGGAGTGGCTGGGCGCGCTGAAGGCGCTCTGCTGCTCGTTCGACAACACGTGCGGCTTCGTCGAGATCCTGACGGAGGTGGACGTCGGCGACGCGGCGACGCACGACCCGATCGCGGTGTTCACGTCCGTGCTCGTGGCGAGACACTGCCTCGCGCTCGAGGACATCGTCTTCCACGTCGCGCTCCCCTCCCTCGTCGCCTCCACCGCCTCCGTGAACAAGCGAGACGCCGACGCCGGCGCCCGTCTAACCTGCCACCTGCTGCGCCACTTGTTTCGCACGACCGAGGGGGCGCTGGCGAGGCTGGGGCGGCCGCGGAGCGCGCTTCCGGCGATACGTACGTCGTGCGACCGCCACCTGCTCGACTCGGCCCACGCGTCCATCACCGTCGACGCCGTCCTCGCCGTGCTCAAGGCCATCCTCATGATGGGCGACACGGCCGCGTCGCCCCCGGCAACGACCCCGGACGACCTCGACGACGACCCGCCGCTGCTCGGGGTCGCGTCGCGGTCGCGCGCGGGCGACGACGACGACGACGAGACGGGGCTGAGGCGTCTCGCAAAGAAGGCTCTCACGGAGATCTGCAGCGAGAACTGGGTTCTCGAGCGCTGCCTCAAGGACTCTGAGCGTCTCTGCACGGAGGACCTCCTCCTCGACCCCATGCTGAAGAACAAACAGGGTCAGCAGCTGCTGCGCCTCATCTGCTACTCGGGATCCGGGGGAGGGGGAGGGGGAGGGGGAGGAGTTCACGGGGAGGAGGCGGCGGCGGCGGCGGGGGGAGGCGGCGGGGACGGGGACAGGCGCGCGACGGTGTGTCGCATCCTGCGTGATCTCGATCAGTGGAGCCTGTGCGTGTCGTGGCTGGAGCTGCAGCTCATACTCATGCAGTGTCCCGCGGACGAGCGAAACTCCCTCATGGACGTCATCGCCCGCGCGACCATAGACGTCTTCCAGTCCCCGCCCCCCGCCGACGACAAGGCGGGGCGGGCGGGGCGGGAGCAGAAACCCGCGGCGACGGCAGACGCGCAGCGACCCGAGCGCAGCAACATCTGGCTGGTGGCGCCCCTGGTGGCGAAGCTGCCAGCGGCGGTGCAGGGGAAGGTGCTTCGCGCGGCGGGGCAGGTCCTCGAGAGCTGCAACTGGTCGCCGTCGTCGTCCTCCTCCTCCTCGTCCTCCGCGTCGAAGAAGGATCGCGACCGCGCGGGGGGCGGGCAGCGCGGCATGTCGCCGCCGTGCCAGCAGCCGTTCCTCTGCCTCGTGCTGACCTGCCTGCGCGGCAAGGACGAGCAACGCGAGGGGCTGCTCTTCTCCCTCTACTCGCAGCTCGGGCAGTACCTGCACGCGGGGGAGCGGTGCGGCGACGACGCGCGCGCGCGGCAGTCCCTCCAGGAGGCGCTGCAGCTGCGGCTGAGCCTCGTCGGCGGCATGTTCGACGTGATACAGCGCAGCGCGGCGAACGTCGCCGACTGGGCGGTGCTGTTCGTGCAGCTGGCGTGCGCGCGAGTCGTCGACCCTCACGTCGACCGCCAGCTGTTCACGACGATCGTAGACATGCTGTCGGCGCTCATCCACGCGGCGATGGTCGCCGCGCAGGACTCCCACGGGGAGAAACCCGATGCAAAGTCCTCCTCTTCGTCCTCCTCGTCCTCCGGCGGCGGGGGCGGAGGAGGAGGAGGAGGTGGTGCGGGAGCGGGCGGGGAGGACGCGAAGAAGATGTACGCGAACCTGAAGAAGAAGCTGCAGAAGGAGATCGGCGATCGCGACTCTGACGGCGTCGCCATCGTCCGACAGCTGCTGCCGCTCGCCAAGAAACAAGCGAGCGTCATCGTCTGCGAGCCGACGGGAAGCCTCGTCGACACGAAGGGAAACAAGATTGCCGGGTTCGACTCGATCGACAAGAAGAAGGGACTGCAGGTTGCGGACAAGACGAGCGTGAGTCCGTGGGAGCTGTTCGAGGGGCTGCGCAACCCGGCGCCGCTCTCCTGGGCGTGGTTCGGCGCCGTGCGCATGGAGCGCAAGGCCCTCAAGTACGAGGAGCAGCACCGCATGCTTCTCTACCACACGCACGCGCTCAAGAAACCCGCCGCCTACTACCTCAGCCCTCCGCAGCTGCCGCCCGAGGACCTAGAACCGCCGCCGCCGCCGCCCCCGCCTCCTCCCTCGGACAAGCTCGTGAAGAAGGAACTCATGATGATGCAGAAGGAAGGAGGAGGAGGAGGAGGAGGAGGGGAGGCGCGTCCCGATCCACCGATCACGCCTAAGAAGGCTAAGGGTGCGCAGCGGCGGCGTCGGGCGTCGAGGGTCGGGGCGGCGCAGCAGGTCTACCAGGGGCAGAGCCCCGGCCGTAGCATGCCCCCGACGTTCCCCGAACCCTCCATGTACCAGGCGGGCGGGGGCGGCGGCACGGGCGGGGCGCGGGACTCTCTCTCACGCTCTCTCTCTCTCCGTCTGTCAACAAATGCAGTCGGACCTGTGTACATATTAGTAGTCAGCCACTCATTGCATGCGAGTAAGGTTTATAAGTTACACTAAGACGCGTTTCTAAGTCAGACCATGGGACACACTTACAGCTTTGTTTTCCCGCGTGTCAACGCTGACCATCATAAACATGTCAAGATAGTTCGGATTGAGTAAGGCCTGAAACAGTGGTAAAGACGCATCAGCATGTACCCACAAAATAGGAAAAGCTACATAAAACATCTTTTGAAGCAATCCTATAAATGACAAGCAGATACTAGAGAAAATAGAATACCCACCATGAATATAATTTGATCCGAATTAAAATCTGCATAACAATTATGTATATCACCCGGTATATCACACATGGTAGGTTTTATTAGCGGCTTGTGATAATATTTAGGTGGTCGCTACTGTACTACTGCTGATGCTGCTGCTGCTGCCACCGCCGCTGCCGGCTGCTACTACTACTACTACTATATAACTACTACTACTATATAACTACTATCAGAAGTACATGAAGTCAGAAGAGAAAGAATCTTGTATCTCCATATGTTTCCTACACCTATTCTATGTATCATATAGAATGACTATTGTGAATAGAAATCCTATATGATACATAGAATACATGAAGAATACAATCATATAGACTCAGCACACATACATAGAATCTCTCTATTCACGTACACCCGCTACACTACGGCACCACTTACTAGATATTGCACGCTGCCATCTGGCGAGAGAAAATGGCGGACAGTCGTCTCACCGAACTTGCTCATGAGGACCTTGAAGAGACCTTGGTACCAGCTGGTGGGCATACTGAGGAAGGGGTTGAGCTGGGGGTCGAGCTGGTTGAGGGTCGACGTCCACACCGACTTCAGCAGCTCACAGAACTCTGCGTAGGTGAGCTTCGACGCGGCCTGCCATCGCGTGAGGAAAGACGTCGTCGTCGTCGATGAAGCAGGGTGCCCGGCAACGACGAGAAAGACGCAGGAAAACACGCAGTTACACACACGACTGTCGCGTGTCTATGTGGATATCGCCCCGCATCGAAGAGAATACGTGTTAAATAATTGAATAATTGTAAAAAATAGTTTGAGTGCAGGTGTGAAGGCGCACGGTTCATTTAAATAATAAATTTCGACTGACTTTATGAAGTTCGGCCATGTTTGGCATGAATAAAGCTGCCCCTTCCTTTCTTGCTCACCCCTTCCTTGCTGGTGGTTCCATTCACATTGGGCTCCCCTCTCCTGCATACCTTTCCCCCTCCTCCCTAAATCACATCTCTCCCTCCCTCCTCCCTAAATCACATCTCTCCCTCCTTCCTCCCTAAATCACATCTCTCCCTCCTTCCTCCCTAAATCACATCTCTCCCTCCTTCCTCCCTAAATCACATCTCTCCCTCCTTCCTCCCTAAATCACATCTCTCCCCCCCCCTCCTCCCTAAATCACATCTCTCCCTCCTTCCTCCCTAAATCACATCTCTACCTCCCTCCTCCCTAAATCACATCTCTCCCTCCCTCCTCCCTAAATCACATCTCTCCCTCCCTCCTCCCTGACGCGCGCGACACCCACCCCCTCCTTGCTGGAGCTTCCGTCCGCGTCTGGCTTCCCCTTCCGGCGCGCCTTCTCCTCCTCCCTCCTCCCTAAATAACATCTCTCCCTCCCTCCTCCCTGATGCGCGCGGCACCCACCCCCTCCTTGCTGGAGCTTCCGTCCGCGTCTGGCTTCCCCTTCCGGCGCGCCTTCTCCTCCTCCGTTGTGACTCCCATGAGCAGCCAGTGCCAGAGGATGTCTCGGCGGCAGTGTCCGACGGCGGTGGACACCATGTTGCGGATGCGGCGCTCCGACTTGCCTCCCTGAGCAAGCAGCACGTCCCTCAGCTGCGTCTCGTAGGGGCTGAAGTAGCCTGCACGCGACAACACCACACGGTATATATACAGGGGAAGAAATTAACTTTTGAACAAGGAAGTCCAACGGACTCCCTACCCTCAAAAAGAGGGAGTCCGCAGCAAAATGAGGGAGTCCGCAGTCTGAGGTTCAAAATTAAAGATATTAACAATAACGCATGTGCTTATTTTTAAGATTCGTGCAGTTGCACGTCTGCCAAATTTTCTTAGGACATTAGCTGAAAAAATAAAGTGATTCCGCAAGGCCGTGCTTCGCAACAAACTATAGTTAGTATGGCAGAATTTTCAGGGAGTCCGACAGTAAATCAGGGAGTATTTGACTCCGGACTCCCGTTAATTTCGCACCCTGTATATATATATATATATATATACACATGGAGCTACATTATAGTAATCACGTGGTCGCTTTGTAAATACACACCCACAGCATGGAATCTGTCTAATAAAAACTAGGTTGTATCCTAAGAATTCCATTGTTCCGAGTTATTTCCTATGCAAGAATCATTCGAAGCATTCTTTTGTCGAATTTCCTTCACGAAAATATGCCCAAAACATCTCAAAAATGTTGTAGTTTCACTAAACAAATGTAAAAGCAACTATGTAAACAATGCAACGTAACAATAATTGTCTAACAAATTTAACAGTTCGTTCTAAGGTGGTTTGTTCAGCACCGCTCATCCTGGTTCCTCGCAGCAGCCGTGTCTGCTAGTCATCGAAGTGATGTGGAGGAGTCACTAGGAATGGGGTTCTACCCGCAATATTTTCGAATAAGATTGCGGTAAATATCAGTCACTGAAATCAAGAGCAGCACTTTGCTTGTTTTAGACTCTAAAATTTCTTTCACACCAAGGTAGGGCGTGACTGCAATGACTGACAGCATGATAATATCAGATCCTATATCGCCACCGGGTTAAAGGAGGTGTAACCTTAATCGAAATACTTCAGAAACTACTGGGCCCACGAACCTTCGACTTAGTAATTCAATCCAATTTCTTCCAATGAAAGCATACCCTTCTACAGCAGGGCGTTCTCTAATACCCTTTCTCCTATTCTCTGCATAAAAACGACCAAAAACCCATTTCCTGACCAATAGGTGGCGCCACATGTTAATTTGTAAGTGCTAAAGGAACGAGGGCTTCGGATAAGGATTTGGCTGCGTGCCAGGCTGGAATAAAGGTTAGAAGATGAGCCAGGAGGTTAACGTGCCAGGGAGCCACCTGCACAGACAAGGTAGGCAAATAAAACAAGAATAAACTTGCAGTGAAATTTGCAATCTCATTTTACTGCAACCCTATGTACATACCACAACTTGCAATTCACATTGCAGGCTCTCAATCTAATCTCACAATCTCTCTTCTTCACAATTTTCAGCAAAAACTTTTCACTATCTTATCCAAAAAAGAATTTAACAAGAATGCCACGATCACAGCTTCACAGCAAATACGGTGCAAACATGAGTGTAATTTATGCTGTGTGAAAACACACACACGCACGCACATGCACACACACATACTCAATACACTGTGTAAGAAAGTTTAAACCACACAGCTAGAGTTTCACTACCGTAACACTCCTCTCACACACCCATAGCTCCCCTGTCCAACGTTAAATGATTGAGCGTTACATAATTTGTAACAACATTTCTATACATTAGTACATTTCTATACATTACTGTCATTAGTATATATACATCGTGTCCATAGTGTGACAAGACCTGACTAGTCAGCATGTTGTTCTTAGACTAGCAGCACTTCAAAAGTTCAGATTTAATTTCATGACTTTGTGACATTACTATTTACGCTACTTCTAGTGATCAGTCAACACACGAGTCACACGGGAGGGACGATGCGGAAGTTGAATCAAACGTGATAGTAGTTAACCGTCAGCCGATGTGTTTCCACACGTTGCTGTGCTGCTGTCACTGATCATTAGAGCAGGCATGTCCAAAGGTGGTAGCAGCAGGCGTTGACGAAGCTCTCTATGTGAGACTGCACCCAGTGCATGCGCAGGTTCGGTCGATCCAGGGTTCCCTCCTCCTCCTGCTGCAGCTGCTCCCTGTACACCGTACACAGATCCTGCAGGGGAGAGAGAGGAGAGAGAGATGCAGGCGTCAGGCACGCGTGTGTGTAACCCTAACTCTAACCCTGTACACCGTACACAGATCCTGCAGGGGAGAGAGAGGAGAGAGAGATGCAGGCGTCAGGCACGCGTGTGTGTAACCCTAACCCTAACCCTGTACACCGTACACAGATCCTGCAGGGTAGAGAGAGGAGAGAGAGATGCAGGCGTCAGGCACGTATGGGTGCATGTGTTACTCGCTAGCTCTCACTGTGTCTGTCCGTCTGTCTGTCCCTTTGTCTAAATCCCTCTTTCCTTCTCTTTCTCGCTCTCTCTGTCTGTTTGTCTGTCGATCTGTTTGTCTGTCTGTCTCTCTCTCTCTCTCTTGCTCTCGCTTTCTCTGTCTGTCTGTCTGTCTGTCTGTCTGTTTGTCTGTCTCTCTCTCTCCCTTGCTCTCGCTTTCTCTGTCTGTCTGTCTGTCTGTTTGTCTCTCTCTCTCTCTCTCTCTCTCCCTTGCTCTCGCTTTCTCTGTCTGTCTGTCTGTCTG